GCAACTTGCAGTGTGAATTCTAGTGTGATCATGGAAAATTTGGAAGGGCAGCGTAAACGACAAAAAATCGGTCCTTTAACAGTTAATGAAAAAACATTAATATTTAATTGTTTTAAATCATTTACAGACAAACATTTATGTAAAAATGTTGATGACACAGTGGAATTAGTAGTACGCTTGGTGTTGGGAAATCTACGATTTACAGAGTTGTTAAAGAAGAGAAATGTAGCGAGTTTCAAATAGCACGTAAAGCTCCAGGAAAACCAAAATTTCAATAAGAAAATCTTTTGAAAGAAAGACTTCGAAGGAAAGTGCATGCGTTCTTCTTTAGAAAAGAATTTCCGACAGTAGACAAAGTTCTTGCCACGGTTCGAGATGATAAGGATTACCCTGAAATGAGTCGAAGCACATTATGGAAACTTTTAAAAGAAATAGGTTTTCTATGAAAAATGCATTCTAGAAAGTCTATTTTAATAGAAATAAGCGATATTGTAGTATGGAGAAGAAATTACCTAAGGACTATAAAAGAAATGAGAAACCAAAGAAGAAATATATTTTATTTAGATGAAACATGGATCAACGAGGGACATAAACCAAATAAATTTTGGCAAGATGAAACTGTTACAAGTCGAAGACAGTCTTTTTTTAAATAATTTATCTACTGGTTTAAATCCACCATCAGGAAAGGGGCGCAGACTAATAATAGTACACATCGGTAGTTCAAACGGTTTTGTTAAAGGTGGTTTATTGACTTTTGAATCTACTCGTACCGGTGACTACCATGAGGACATGAATGCTGTTGTCTTTAAAGAGTGGTTCGAACAAATTATAGATCTTCTTCCTCAGAACTGTATAATAGTAATGGATAATGCAAGTTATCACTCGAGACTTATAGAAAAAATGCCCACAACCAAGTGGTTAAAGAAAGATTTACAGAATTGGCTAAATTCAAAGAATATTAAGTTCCATACCGGTTCTGTGAGAAAAGAACTGAATCATTTGTGTTCCCTTCATAAAGAGAAATTCAAAAAATATGAAATTGATAAAATTGCAAAAAATCGTGGGATGACGGTGGTTAGATCACCACCATATCATTGCGAAGTAAACCCGATTGAACTGATATGGGCACAGATAAAGGGAGGAGTTTCAAGAAAAAATAATTCTTTTAAAATGAGTGATGTTAAACAGTTGTTTTTGTTGGCTGTAAATAATGTGAAACCTGAAAACTGGGAAAAGGCAGTAAATCATACGATTAAAGAAGAAGAGAAAATGTGAAAGTTGGACAATATTACTGATGAAATGATCGAGCCACTCATTGTAAATATTGGTTGCGACAGTTCATCTTATGATATCGATTCTGATTTGGATTTGTAGGTAAGAAGTAGTTTTTATATTAAAATTATTATTTATGAACGTAACGTTGTTTAAAAGTCAAAGTTTAAACCCTTATACCTACATAACCCGTTTGCCACAATGTTCTTAACATATCTTGTGGAAAAATAAAACATTTTAGAAAAAATTGCTCTTTTTTTACCTTCAGCTGTTTAGAAGTTATAAGCAGGTTAATTAGATGAAAATATAAGTGTATACTTTAAAAAATGTTTTAACTGTCTACTAAAAGAAGTGGTACGCCTATGGATTACGAACGCTTTATTATTTTAATACTCTCTCATACATAAAAATAGACTATAGTACAAGTTTCTTTTTAATTGAAATAGGTTAGTTTTCTCGTTTGGTGAAAGCTTTTTTTGTGTTTTAAAGATTAATTTAAAACCTTTAACATATCTTAGGACAATATTTTTCGAAGTTTACATTTTAAGTAGAATTTTTCGCATTGCAGTTAGCCGGGCTAGCATCTTATAAGTATAAGATCAGATTTAACACAGTCTCCTTTGTACATTTATTTGTTTATAATGCAGAATTTTCATATGAAATATTTTCTTTGGTGGCCAAAGTTTATTTCCACTGACAAGGATGTAAAGAATAATATGAAAATTTATCAAAAAGTCATAATGTTTGAACAGAGACAAGTTTAAAATATTAGATATGTTTTGTTTTACCTCTTTGTTATTTCTTTGTTTTTGATTTAATAATTCAATATTAAGAAATAAAAATCAAGTTGAAGATATTCGTGTATTACGAGATATATAGTCCATTGATTAAGTTACAATAATCTCTGATAATTTAAAACACCCTGTATACAAAAATAACTTATAATTCCCCACTGAAAGTATTTTTTATTGTAATTTAAAACAATGTACTACACCTTACATGGTTTTTCGTTTAAGAAGTATAATCTTATTAAAAGATTAACTATTTTGAGAAGAGATTATGACTCAGCTGTCTGAGGTAAAATTTAGGAGACCTAAAAGATTATATAATAGAAATAGATCTTTTAAACTTTTAAACCATACGTAACAACAGTTGGGTTATACATAGCAAATTAATTATATACAGTATGTCCACTTAAAAGCCCCCATACTACAACGTCCTTATTTTTGTTTTCACTGATTGCTTGGTAATTTTTATACAAGTGGCGCGTTTTTTACATTATTGAAAAAAATTATGAAATTTTTATAAAAATTTAAATTCTAGAAATTAGCACCACTGAGTTTTGCTGCCATCGCAAAACCCGGCGGATTTATTTATAACTATCACATTTTTTTTGACATGCTAATTTAGGTAAAATATTTCTAGAAAAATATACTTAATGTTCGTTGGTACTTAATTTTCCACATTTTATATCGTACACTGTTGAAACAAAGTTATCACATAATTCTTGAATATATTTTCCTTTTAAAATTGAACAAATACATTTATTTATTTGTAATATCGTAATAATTCGACATGGTACTGCCAGATTTTGAAAAATATGGCAGATTTTTTTTAAATAAAATTTTCTCTTGTGTTTTACTTACAAATTTCTATTTAATGATATTTTATTTAAAATTGAAATTATTTTTATGCGAAAATTAACTCTACACACTGGTAAATTTTAGCACCTAAATAAACAAAACAATTACAGAGGAAGATGAAAATTTAAAAAAACGACAAGACGGTATAGGAAATATCTTATTTTTATCAGAACCAATAGTGCCTGATGAAAATATCTTATGTTACCTTAAATTACAATTATTTAAGTTTAAAGTAGTAACAAAAAAATATTAATAAAAATACACCCTAATTTACCCAGCCGTGCGCTCATCAGAGTCTTAAAAGGGATTACAACATATAACCCTTTGACATTGGTTATTTTTACTTATATTTCCATAAAAAATAAACAGAACTGCAAACATGTTTTACTATCGTAATAACGAATAGTAACATTAATTTTTTTTTTTTTTCATATTTATCACTGTTGTCATTTCCGTCAAGAATTGACGCACACTTGCTGGTTAAAAAAAAAAAATGGCAAAAATTGTGATATTTTTAAATTTATCATCAGTGATACCACATGTAGTTACCTGACTTATTGGAATATATAGACTTTGCTACCATATTCAACTGAACTTGTTGTTTTTAATATTTATCACTGTGACATAGGCTGTTTTTGTTAAAATGTTTCATTTTAAACTGTTGTAAATAGGTGCCTTTGGTTTGGTAGTTTTAGTGGCAAAAATCTATGCATATACAGGTACTCATTCCGCTTTGATTTGCTCGAAAAGTTAAAATTTTATAAAAAATTACATTAGCTGTTTAAAAACCCTTCAATTTTAATCTTTGAAATGTGATAATTAGGTAAATTAAATTAAAAAATAAATAAAAACAGTTTATTAAATTAATATTTACTCTTACAAAATAGGTTCTTGTAAGTTAACAATACCACAAGTAATTATGCAGATATTACTAAGTAAATGAGGTTTTAACATGTGAAATTCCCTAACCCTTCTTATAACTCTTTCCACATGTATTCTTAAAGATGCTATTCTTTTATTTAATTGTACATCTTCTGGAGAACTTTTTTTATTCTGTGGTACACTAGGTGGCCTTGCTAAATTGCATCCCATGTTTTCAAGTAATGACTGAATATTCTTAAACCCTTTATCTGCCATTATATGGGATCCAGGAACCAGTTTGTTTAAATATCCACATTTTTCTATTATTTCTTTATCACTAATTCGTCTAGAAAATGATGAATAAATTTACTATCTTCAAAACTTTCAGGAGATTCTCGATTTTTGTCCAGAAAGGTTTTTAGATTATACACCTAAGAATTTATAGTAGCTTCATTTTAAATTTCCTGAAAGGGACAATTAGCAGAAATTGCTGCTACATCTTGACTGTCCGGTGTATTTTTATTAAAAAGTTGATGAGAAACATCGCTAGTAGAAGGTTCATTTTCTTCTCTCCAAAATTCTAGGAACACTAATAAATATTTTTGAAGATGAATGTGAATCATTTTCACATTCTGGAACAAAACATTTTTTCGTAGTCATAATATTTATAAAAAGTACAAAATTAAGCACTTAAATTTTAAATAAATTCTTGAATGAGACACTATGATAGATGACATATACAGTGCTACCGTTTTGCCATTTTCTGAATTATTAAGTGACTTTTAAAACAATGAAACTTTAAATATGGTAAAAGTTTAAACATAAATAATTTAATAAATATAAAAAGAAAGCAAATATTAATAATTTTTAATTTTTTTAGTATTAATACCAAAAAACCGTGTAAACTGTTGAATTTATAAAAACGAAGTCTTGTAAAACTTTATTTTTGATAATATTCTTAATAAAACATTTTATTACCTATAAAAAGTTAGGTTTTAAAATTCTTGGGTGATAATTACCCCCATCCCCTCCCGTATATGCGCCCCTACCCGTAAATCTACAATATTGGATAATTAAATTAAAAATATGAACATAAACAATTATTTCCAGAACACCGGACCACCCTGTACCTCCAGACAACTATCCTTGTCTACCGAAATATGTCAGTAATGCTTCCCACTACTCTTTCTCGAGCCCTCAGTATTGTTAAGTCTTAAGAACTTCGACTTGTAGCAATCAGTCTTCAATAGTCTCTCTCGAAGAGCGGAGTGTGGTTATCAACTGGTCTTCTATCTCGTACGACTTCAGAAAGATAAATAACTGTATAAATATAATAGTGTGGTGATATACCGGTAGTTCTATAATAGTGATGTGTTAAAAATTGTAAAAAAATGGTTTCTTCAGTATATTTCGCAGCCAAAACCGATCTACAGTGGGACAGTGATTTAAAACCACTACAACCAAAGTTAATACCAACATCCGTGTATAAAAACTTATGTTTATTAAGTGTTATATTCGCTTTTAGTGTCGGTTTGACCATAGGAATACTGATACCACTTATTTATCTAAAAGGATCTGATAATAACAGAACTGAACTCCTTATCAAACCAACCGCAAATCCTAATTTAATACGGACTGTATTTTTAAACAATAGTTACGCGTTTCGGAACGATTCTAAACAATATTCATCAGTGTCTTTCATCGATGGCGTTAAAAAAGGCTACGAACTAATCGAAGATGGTATCTTTTGGGGTAAACAAATAGAAAATAGTTTACCGGAAGGATACAAAGATAAGAAGCATGGAATTTGGGAGGATTACGTCAAAAATGCAGTTGCAATTAAAATGGAAAATGGCTGTGGACGTATGCAGAATCGTTTAATAACATTTCAAGACGGTCTAAAAGGATGTGTGAGGTATAGACAAAATACAGATCAAATACAAGGTGAATTATTTAGCTTCTATTTAGCGAAAATTCTAAATTTACCGAATTTAGCTCCAAGCACAGTAAGTGTAGTGGATCTAAAACAACCTCTATGGCAAAATTTGAGAAATGAAATTGCTGCAGCTCAATGGAATTCAAATAGACCGATTGTTTTGACACAATTCATTACTAACCTAAAATCTTCTAATATTCCGAACGTTTTTAAACCAATAGAGAGGCATCTAAACAAATTCGATGTAATAAATATGACAAAAAACGAACTCCTAGATAAAAACGATATGAATAAAATGTTAGTAGAGCTTGCACAATGGTCCGATTTAATAATATTTGACTATTTAACAGCAAACTTAGATAGAATAGTTAATAACCTCTATAACTACCAATGGAATGTTAACATAATGGATGCACCTGCACATAATTTAGCACGAAAATCAGACAGTGATCTACTAGTGTTTCTAGACAACGAATCCGGATTACTCCACGGTTATCGACTATTAAAAAAATACGAAATCTACCACTCCATACTGTTGGAAAATTTATGTATCTTCAGACGACCTACAGCGGATAAGATAAAAAAATTGAGGAACGATAAAAATATAGGATTCCTTCTACGTGGGATGTTTGAGAAGTTAAACAGTGATTCAGTAAAGGATATTTTGCCTACACTGCCTGATAAAAGTGTTAAAATTCTGAACGAAAGAATTGAGAAGGTGCATAATCAGATTTTGAAATGTGAGTCTGTTTTTTCTAATCGATAGTTGTATATAAATTATAGTTATAATTAAATTATTTTGAGATGATCATGATAAGTACCTGACTATTTGAGTATCTTTCAAAACTGACACATGTCCAAAAAATAACCCAAATTGAGTTAACTGTAATAGTTAGTAGCCAATTTTTGTATTTATTGGTACAAATATTGATTTCTTAAAAAAGTAAGACACAAATAGTGTTAAATATAAAGGATTGGCATTGTTTTTGTGTTTTCTGAAAAAAGCTGGTTTTGGACATGTATGGTTTTTATAAAAATGTCTTTAATTATTCCGTTTGACTACTAAATCTTTAGTATAATTAAACTTTTGATAGGTTTCTTTCTATTATGGTTAATAAACTCATTTAAATAAAGTAGTAATATTTAAATATATTGGATATACATAATAATGTATTGAAGATTTAAAATCATCGATTAATGACATATTAAATACTTGAATGATGATATATATTGCTTGGCACTCTTTAGAGTTTAAAAGACCATCCTTAACTCTTATTTTCAATCAAATTTTATTCAGAAACAAAAATCGAGAAAATACCATTTTTCACCCCTTCTCAACCCCCTAAAATCTTACTTCAACTGGGGGGAAGTTGCCTTTATTTTTTTACACATATATTTATTTTTTCAGTTAAATTTGATTGAACTATACACTAAAAAATGATAAATATATTTCAGAGACCCCTATAGTGGATAAGAACAGAAACCCACTGAAACAAAATTAACCATAAATATTATTATAAGAGTCTCAGTTTGATTATTTTTATAATAACTTCTTAACTATTAGTAAATTTGAAGACATAATACAATATTAACATTACAGTTAAGCATACAAATTTGATTACTTGCTATAGAAAGTAAAAAATATTTTGGAGATACCAATAGTGGATAAGAACAGAAACCCTTTGAAGTAAAATTAATAAATATTAATACAGTCTTAGTTTGATTATTTTTGTATTAATTCTTTAACTACTAGTAAATTTAAGGGCATAATAAAATATTAACATTACAGTTAAGCATACAAATTTGATTATTTGCTATAGAAAGTAAAAAAATATTTTGGAGATCCCAATAGTCAATAAGAACAGAAACCCACCGAAGCAAAATAATCCAAATTGAGTCAGCTGTAATAATTATTAGCCAATTTTTGTATTTATTGATACAAATAGTGATTCTTAAAAAAATAACACACAAATAAAGATATATTCATTGTTAAATATAAAGGATTGACAATATTTTTGTGTTTTCTGAAAAAAGCTGGTTTTGGACATGTATGGTTTTCATAAAAATGTCTTTAATTGTTCCGTTTGACTACTAAATCTTTAGTATAATTAAACTTTTGATAGTTTTCTTTCTATTATGGTTAATAAACTCATTTAGATAAAGTAGTAATATTTAAATATATTGGATATGTTGTGGCAGTGTTGTAAATTGGGCACTGACGATATTGACCGGACACTAACGTGAGCAGAATACCCAATCAAATAGGAGATTCACCGGCAAATATCGTTAAAGACCAAAATATCATCTTTGACTGTAACAGATATACATAATAATGTATTGAATATTCAAAATCATCAACTAATAATATATAAAATACTTGAATGAAGATATATATTGCTTGGCACTCCTTATTATACTCTTCACAGTTTAAAAGACTCTCCTTAACTCTCATTTTCAAACAAATTATTTTCACAATCAATATGCTTCGTCCCCTCATAAAGGGTCTCTGTTTTTATCCACTATTGGAGTCTCCGAAACATATTTTACTTTCTATAGCTAGTAATTTATAGATTGATTGACTTACCTATTATGAGAATCAATTCTAATTTGTTGAGCTTATCCTCTGGTATAATTCTCGCGTAAGTACATTTTAAAGATTATGCAAACCAAATTGACCCCTTACCCTGACTCATACATTCATTCCATTTTTTAATCGATTAAAAATAGAACGCTGATTAAGGCCAAAGCATGTGTAGGGGGCGGTTTGAATTATACCACTGATTTCTGAAACTCTTGAATTTGGACGTGTTCTGTGGGCGCCTAAAGTTTAAATCAGGCCTTGAATTTGTAGATACTTTTAATGTACTCGGTTGCTGGTAATTATATGTCTTCAATTCATTACTAGCTTGTTTCAAAGCCCGTTTAGCTTTGACCTCTTCACTAAAATCTTTGCCAAAAATCTATTCGTCTATCTGCTATTTTGTGGCCATTTATTTCGCTTGAAAATTAAGATGTGCAGATGCTACATATTTATTGTCTGAAATTGGCATTGTAGAAATTTCGCCACCCATGGCGGTTAAGCCATATCGCAACTGTTCCTGTAAGGAATGTAGGAATTTATCTTGTTTGTTTATTTGATCTGGCAGACAAGATTGAATTTCCTCGTTCATTTTTGGAGCATTTAATGCCGGACAATTCTGAGGAATCGGATATTTTTCGAACAAGTCATTTTTATTTTCTTTATTTAGTCCATTATGCAGAATATGAGTCCACCTTGTAACTGCTTCCTCCCTAAAATCTTGAAAAACTTTTCATTCTCATTAGAATCAACGCCCAAGATCGATATTAAATTTGGATCGATCTGAATAGGAGTAGTATCTTCTACTTGGCAGGTAGAAATAGGTGTGGACGTTCTGGACTCACTTGAATCCAGCAAATCTAAAATAAATAACCTATATTGGAGACTAGTTACACGTTATAGTTCAAGGTATTTTAAATAGTAAATACATGTTTACCCTTTTTAAAGTAATTCATTTTATAAAGGTAAAATTACACCAAATTTCTTGGAAATTAAATTATTTTTAGAAAAATGAAAAAATAAAATTCGAAATTTTGAGGTTAGTTAAAAACTGGCCTTTACAAAATATGTACATTTTTGCAATGTATATTTTTGTTTTTTGACTTCAATTTTTGCCAAAAATCGAGAAAAAATCATTTTTCACCCCTTTTCAACCCCCTAAAATCTTACATCAACTGTGGAGAGGTTGCATTTATTTTTTTTATGTATGTATTTATTTTTTTAGTTAAATTTGATTGGACTATAGCCTAAAAAATGAAAAATATATTTTGGAGATACCAATAGTGGATAAGAACAGTAACCCACTGAAGTAAAATTAAACATAAATATTATTATAAGAGTCTCATTTTGATTATTTTTGTAATAACTTCTTAATTATTAGTAAATTTGAAGACATAATGCAATATTGACAGTCCAGTTAAGCATAAAAATTTATTTACTTGCTATAGAAAGTAAAAAATATTTTGGAGATACCAATAGTCGATAAGAACAGAAACCCACTGAAGCAAAATTAACAATAAATATTATTATAAGAGTCTCATTTTGATTATTTTTGTAATAACTTCTTAATTATTAGTAAATTTGAAGACATAATGCAATATTGACAGTCCAGTTAAGCATAAAAATTTATTTACTTGCTATAGAAAGTAAAAAATATTTTGGAGATACCAATAGTCGATAAGAACAGAAACCCTTTGAATTAAAATTAATAAATATTATTATAGAGACTCTTTGATTATTTTTGTATTAATTTCTTTCTTAACTACTAGTAAATTTGAAGACATAATAAAATATTAACATTACATTTAAGCATACAAATTTGATTACTTGCTATAGAAATTAAAAAAATATTTCAGAGATCCCAATAGTGGATTAGAACAGAAACCCATCAAAGCAAAATTAATAAAAATATTATATAGAGTCTCAATTTGATTATTTTTAAATTTACTTCACAACTACTACTAAATTTGTAGACATAACAAAATATTGACATTACAGTTAAGCATACAAATTTGATTACTTGCTATAATTGATCAAATTAAGCATGAAACACGGCAGTTTTTATGCTTTATTTAGAGGTTATAAAACTGTTTCACAATGTTTTCTTGAAATGCGTAAAATTTCTGGGTGGGCTCTAAATAGTCAAATAAAAGACCATTACAATTAAAAAATAAATGTTGTTTTATAGTCTTCGCTTATTATTAATTACGTTATTTAATTATTTCCTTTCAAAAACAGTTAGTTGATAAATTAATTGTGAAAAAATCTTAACAAGAATATAATTTTATTGCCTGCTTTTTTGATGTTGGTAATAATATTTTTATATAATTTAATTTGCTAGAAGCATACTGATAAAGGAATTATTATAATTCATTCATTAAAGTTTTATTATTCTCTCTTTTAAATTAATCTTAAAAAAATTTGTTACAATAGAATTATCCAGAAATAAGATTATTTTACTCTTCCACCAGTCTTCTATTAGTTTCTCGCACTTGGATATACAGTTCCGCCACACTTCTGGAGTTGCAGTTGAAAGTTTTCCGAACTGCGTCGTCACTATAACCATTATGCCCAATATGGTTGTCATAATATTGTTTTGCTATTCCCCATATATATTCGATGGGATTAAACTGGCTATGATACGGTGGCAGATATAAAACTTGATGACTCTAACTTTCAATAATCTGATCCACAACAAAGATTTTTGATTTTGCGTGTATATTTGCCAAGCGTAATAATTTTGATTTTAATATATATTGAGGAAATGGTATGTTCCTTTGTCAACCATTCTTTAATTTTATCAACAGTCCAAGAATTTGTTGGACTTTTGTTTCCAGAAAAAAAATTACATTTGGCAACTATGTCAACAAAAACTGTATTTATAAGTTGTTAAAATGTGTCAGTTTATAGATATTTTTCCACACTTTCTAGAAACAAATTACATGTAGCAACAATGTCAACAAAAACTTGACTAATAAGTTCTCAAAATGTGTCAATTTATAGATGAACGCCCTGTACTTTAACTATTACTACTTGTCTGTTTTAATTAATTCTATAAATAATTTTTTTAATATCATTATGAATTGAAACTAACGGAAACCTATTATATCAGTTGTGGTACCTAACTCGGTACAATAGTATCCTATACCTAAGGTACCATCG